TATAGTATCTTTATGGGAAATACATTAGTATAGTCATAATTAAATAAATTGAAGATAAACTGAAAAACATAATTACAACATTTATATGAACTGTATCATTTAATTAAAAAGATAAATACAACGTTAAATTATTATACTTCTTGATCAAACTCAGTAGGTATGAATGTTGGATCCACTTCAATTTTGAACAAAATTGACCCATCTCAAAGTTATTGTAGTAAAACTGAGAAATTCTTCTATGAATAAAAATTGAAAATTAAACGAGCACTATTTTTGAAATTTCTGCAACCTTCCAACTACTTACATTGCTTGTGAAAGAAAGCTACTGTCTTATACGCGCAATAACGTACCGCATAATTACTTTTTCAGAAATAAGTGGATATTCCCGGCAGAAAAATTTCGCGTTGTTAAAAATAAGAGAATTTCTATATACGGCTAAAACTCAACGTTCATAAATAATACATCAATGAAAATAACTTCGGTCGCTGAAAATGAGAAAAGCACTCGTACATGGTAAGAATACATTTGGTAGTCGTACTAGACAAACGTAAAAAAGGAAAGGCATAGAACAAAGAAAACTCGCAAAATGAAATATCTCGTATCAATACAGAGAGGGAAAGAGAAATAGAGAGAGAGAGAGAGAGAGAGAGAGTGAGACAGAGACAGAAAAAGCTCAGCTGCGATCGTGACTCGGCTCCGATTTGTCTTTGCGTCTTCGTCCTTCCATTTGGGATCTCGTCTAGTGGCCGCTACTATATACAGTCTCATGGGAAATGCATCAGCGATACGTTGCAGAGAGAAAAGCGCAGTGCAGGCGCCAATTTAAAAATGCATTCTCTCGATTTTCGGACACGCGACAAAAAAAAAGGAAGGAGAGCACGGGAAAAGAAAAATTGAGGGGAAAAACGAGCTCGCGAATGAGTGGAAAAGATAGACGCACTTTACAGGCACGTCCGTGTCAATCCGCTCGCGAACACGAGCTTATGCATTTTTATGAAGGGATCAAGATGGTAATCGAGTCGGAAGTTCGCCACCGAAAATGCGCGCGATTATGCGCGCGCTCCCGTTGCATGATAAAGAGCTGTAGTAGAACGGGAGACTGCAAAGTCGCAACGATGATGTTAATCCCGGCAAGCTTTTGCATTTGGTCTTCAATCACTTTGAGGCTAATGGCGTCGTAAGCGCGCCAGGGTGTAAAAGGAACTTGCCTCGAACTGAGTTAATTAGGCTGCAGCGCCAACGTCGGCGACGAGTTTCGTCACTTTTGCCACAGCGTGCTGTATCATTCCAGAAGGAAAATTCCCAAGTAGGAAAGTGGCCTGCTAGAGAACCAACTTTTCGAAGCACTACAGTGGACCTTTAATTGGGACATTTTTAACCGGAGCCGTCACTTCTTTTCTTTTTTACATGTAGCGAAAGTCTTTGAAGTGAGCTCACGCTGGAAAAAACTGCTCAGAAGTTTCAAACAGAGCGTTAGTTCGAGTGTTTGAGCGAGGCCGGCGAGAAAAATTACTGGAGTTGAACGATCGTCTAATTAGTCGATTTCATAACAGAAGGTATTTTTTTTTCTCACTCCCACGGCGAGGCTAACGCGAACTTTTTATTACGAGCTAACTAATTGTAAACTGAATGGAATGGAGCTCATTTAAAGTTTAAAGTTTTTCTTCTACAAATGGTTGATATTTGAAAATCTCAAAGGGAAATTCATTTCCCTTAGTTTGAAACCAGCTCTATAGCATGAACTGTTTTCTGTGTTAAGAAATAAATTTTCACTGATAAACCGAGTAAACTTTCAACTTAAAAAGATTTTTATTAAAAATACTTCACCGACTCATCAAATATTTTGAAACATATGCTGCATATTTACAAAATGATCTTTAAGTCTTTTCATAAACTAATTCCAAACGTAAATTTTACATTTTCTTTTTAATAAAGAGGCTCATTTTTTTTAACGGACAATGAAAAGGTTAGCAATTATACGCGAATAATTTAACATCATAAATCTCTTTTACTTTTTCCTTTTTTAATATTCTCTAAAAACTTTTCGATTCTTCTGTTTGTTACAAAACTGTCGATATCCTTTTAGCGAACATTGAACATATAAAAGAGCAAAGTAAAGATATTATAAGTTCAGATCTATTATGGCACTATATATTCCACTACATAAATAGCGACACTACAAGTAGTACAACTAGAAATAATACTTATTGTAGTGGCGCTACTTTTGAAAAAGTGGTAGTGGCATAACTTGTAGCGCGCTATATGATTTTTGGACAGTAGTGCCTACTTCCACCAAGAAATTGTGTTAATTTCAAAATAGATTAAATGAAAATTTTGAAACCGAGCCTTTTCGAACATACAAGATTCGGAATGGTAATAACAAGTTGACAATCTGCAAGCTATGACATCGATGCTCGCAGCTTGCGCACTTGGAAAATGAGTTTTCAGCAAAAAGGGATGTTCTTTATGAGACGCGGGTAGTGCAACTACTTGGTACAAGTAGTATCATTAACGTCCAAAAATCATGTGCGCTACGCAGGTATAAGCGTCGCTTTACAAGTAGCCCACTTTTTTTCAAAAATAACGTCGGAATTGTAGTACATACTATTCTAATGTTGCAAATGAAGCAATAACGAATCGTAGTTGCGCTACTTACAGCACTGTTCTGTGCCAATAGAAAAAATTTCAAAAATTGCCAATAGAATAAATTTTAGATTTATGAAATATCTTGTTTAAGATTGAAATACCACTCGTAAAAAAGCTGAAATTACTTCGCGTTCTTTCTAACGTTGCGTTGCTCTAGTTTTCACGATCAAAATTTAATTAAACGAAGAAAGCGACTGCTATATCGCGTTCAAAATTAAAAAAAAATTACCAAGATTATACATATAGGTCAGATAAAAATTAAAATATCAAAAGGAAACAACTTTTCAATTGAAAGGAGTTTTATTAGACGAAGAATCTAAATTTCTAATCCAAGCTCAATGCATTTAAGCATCGAGTCAAAGCGTTCCACTGGACGTTTTGCATATTCAATCGAAACCTCGAATCACGATAACGAAGTATTTTTCGCCTCGGCCGGCATCAAGCACTTGCACATTGTCGAATTTTTTTTTTAATCAAGACTCGTCCATAGGTATAACCTTTAAATCGATTCAGCGAAGCTGCCCCTAACGCCTCGAGTGTTCTCGTTAAAGCGAAAGCGTTAAATTCAATTTGGTCGTTGCATGATGCACGTGGGTGTGTGTATATATATATACATACGAACGAGGGTACACAGGGAGAAAAGAGGAAGGCAAGAAAATGGCGGTTGCGCGGCATTTGGATTTTCTTTCGGTCGACGGATAAAGAAGGAGCGGGAGAAGAGGGAAGGGAGAGAAAGAGAGACGGCTGGCCGCGGAAATTCTATTGAATTTTTATTGGATCCCCCAAGCGAAGTGGGACACGTACTGCAAGCGAGCGAGAGCGCGCTTTTCTCCTGACCGGCCTTCTTTTTTATCCAAATCGAAGCGGCGATTCTATCAGCTCTGTCAGACTGCAATTGACGGAACTGCAATAACGGACACTGCTATTACGCTCCTCATTCTCGTTTTTCGATTTTTTCTTCCGCGTGTCCGCGCTACCCTCGGTCGTGTTTTCCAGCCACAAAAAGCTAACCACTTGTACTTTCCCACCAATTATCTTTGAGATTCTTTTGGGAATGGCTTGTTTTTTCCCTTTCGATCGTCGAGACATCGAAGTTTGATGGATATGACACGATGGGCTTTTCCGTTTGGTCAACCGATGGACCCATTTTTGTTTTGTTATGCATACAGTTGAATATTCAATAGAACGTGCGTGAATCATTTATAGTCGATATGAATCAGATTCGCGTGAACAAAGTTATAAATGCAGTAGTCTTTGTTTCCTTTTGTTCTTCCGTTCGGATTTATTCGGATTTACGCCGAGCATATTTTTTGAGAAATTGAATGAATTTGAGAAACTCCTGAGCCCCGGAACTGTTTTTAAGTGAACTCAAGACAAGATCTAAATTGTATCTGCCAATCGCGTAAAATCAATCGTTTCGATTATGGCGTTGAGATAATTAAAATAGTTTCCTCTTGCACAGTATTACGATGCATAGTAAAGTGATTTCAAACTTTCAAAATCCGAAGAATTCCCATCGAAGTTTTACGTTCGTGAAGTAATACTTGCCCACAATTACTTTTTAAGCGACAGTTTTCTTTTGAGACAGGATTTTTCTTATTTTGTATTTTTTCATACTATAAAATTTAGAATCATTTTGCGTATTATCTCAAAATTAAAACTTATTTGAATTCTCAACCTCGCTCTTAATGGTGATAATAATTTGAACATGAAAGTTCAGTTCCTTATTTAACGAAAAAGAGAGATAATTACGAGCTCTTGAGAAAATTCCGGTAAAGTTTCTCAGTACTTCATCTTCGATTTCTTCTGTATTTTCAGTAGGTGTCGCTCTACTTCGTGATTTTCAACTACAGCACACTTAATGAAAAAGTTAGTATTGAAGAACTTCACTTGAAAAAATGTCACCTTACTGTACTTTATTTATTATTTTTAAGTAACAACTTTTACTTAAAAGTAACATTTTATAGAATACCATATACTTCTCCGAAGCAAAAGTAATCAATATCACTACGCTTTCAATTTTTTTCTACGTGTTTTTTGAAAATAACATTTTAAGAAAGTAATTTTAATTGTTCAAGGTAAAAATAAATGATTTAACAGATAATCTACATCTTATTAACACCACAAAGCGTTTGGTACATTTTAACTGCTGAATAGTAAGACGCTTTCTATTGTATAGGAAAGAATTTAAAGGAAAAATTTGATCCCATATCTTAATTCTTTCAATCCATTAAATGATATTGTGTTTAATTCAGCTTTAAAGATTTTTTTTAAATATCCCAATCGCCATCTGTGAGTGCGATCATGAAGTAGCATTTTTGCCTTATGCTTATGTGAGACAAGGTAGAGCAGAGGATAGGGTAGTCGGGAAACAGCTAGATATTTGAAAAATAGAAAGTAGCGTTTTTGTGGCTTCATTGATATAACTTCTGTAGTTTTCCTATTAAAATAGATATTAAAGAAGCGTCGACATAAATATGGCAACATTAGAAGATAAATCAATTTGGGAAGATGGAGAGGTAATTCGGAATAGTTTGTACGTTTTAGGTTAGGTTTAATGGCAACATTAGAAGATAAATCAATTTGGGAAGATGGAGAGGTAATTCGGAATAGTTTGTACGTTTTAGGTTAGGTTTATTTTGAATGACAAGCATTTCTCATACAACATAAACAATGTTTATTAAATCATTGCTTTAAATGATTATTTAATAACGTTTATCAAATATTCAAATTGAACAGATTTTTAAGTGCTCATTCACTTGTTAAATTTATAATGAGAAAACTAATAATAACGCTATGATTCCTCAAAAATTCCTGTTACAATCTCTGATAGAATATGTATATTTCAGGAAACGCTTCGTGAAGAAGTTCTTCGAATGTCAACCGATGAAATAGTTTCAAGAACTCGCTTATTAGACAATGAAATTAAAATAATGAAAAGTGACCTAATGAGAATCAAACATGAACTCCAAGATAAAAATGATAAAATAAAAGAAAACACAGAAAAGATCAAAGTTAACAAGACTCTGCCCTATTTAGTATCTAACGTTATTGAATTGCTTGACGTTGACCCTCAAGACATGGGAGAAGAAGATGGAGCAGTTGTTGACCTGGATGCTCAACGTAAAGGCAAATGTGCTGTGATAAAGACCTCTACTAGGCAAACTTACTTTTTACCTGTAATAGGCCTTGTTGATGCTGAAACTTTGAAACCAGGTGATCTTGTAGGTGTCAACAAGGACAGTTATTTAGTTCTAGAAACTCTTCCTGCAGAATATGACGCCAGAGTCAAAGCTATGGAAGTTGATGAACGTCCAACTGAGCAATACTCTGACATTGGAGGTCTAGATAAACAAATTCAAGAATTAATTGAAGCTGTTGTTCTTCCAATGACACATAAGGAAAAGTTTGAAAATCTTGGTATTCAACCACCTAAAGGTGTTTTGTTGTATGGACCACCAGGAACAGGAAAAACATTGCTGGCCAGAGCATGTGCTGCTCAGACAAAATCTACATTCTTAAAATTGGCTGGACCACAATTGGTACAGATGTTCATTGGTGATGGTGCCAAACTTGTCAGAGATGCTTTCAGCCTTGCTAAAGAAAAAGCTCCTGCAATCATTTTTATAGATGAACTGGATGCTATTGGTACTAAACGATTTGACTCTGAAAAAGCTGGTGATCGTGAAGTACAGAGAACTATGTTGGAACTCTTAAATCAATTGGATGGTTTTAGTTCTACAGCTGAAATTAAAGTCATTGCAGCAACGAACAGAGTTGACATTTTAGATCCTGCTTTGCTTAGATCTGGAAGATTAGATAGAAAAATTGAGTTCCCACATCCCAATGAAGAGGCAAGAGCTAGAATCATGCAAATTCATTCTCGAAAGATGAACATGTCTCCTGATGTTAACTTTGAAGAATTGTCCAGAAGTACAGATGATTTTAATGGAGCTCAGTGCAAAGCTGTTTGTGTAGAAGCGGTATGTTATAAATTTAATTCAATAAAATAATTTTTTAAACTATTGAACATAACTTATTAAATTTTGTATCTATTTTAAAGGGTATGATTGCTCTTAGACGTAATGCTACAGCAGTCACTCATGAAGATTTAATGGAAGCAATTAATGAAGTGCAAGCCAAGAAGAAAGCAAATCTCAATTACTATGCTTAATTTGTTGATATCTATATTTATTAAAAGAAGACTTTTTTTAACATGGTATTATGTAAGAAAGAGTAAAATAAAATTATTTGTGACAAAATTCTGTTAAGAACAAATTAATTTATTTTAGTTACCAGATTTAGATACATTTTATTTTTAATGTTTGTAACTGTCAAGAAGAAATGCTTACACGTAATAAAAAATAAGTTAGATTGAATGTTCATGGGAAAAAATAGAGGAATTGGCATCATTGTAGATAAATAATTTCATCGCCTTCTACTGCTTCTCTTTCTTAATCTGTAACAAAAAAATTAAGAAATATGATTATTTTTTTTAAAATTGAAAGCTAAAAATTTATTGAAATTTAAGAAACTTACTTCTTTGGTCCTTTAACAAAACACCAATCAACTTGAATTGGCTGTCCTAAGATTTCTGTATTATTTAAAGCTTCTTTAGCAGCTTGTGCTTCTTTGAATGTCTCATACTCTACAAGAGCATAGCCTTTCAAGAAACCTGTCCTTCTGTCTAAATTAAGATGCAAATTCTTTATTTGTCCAAATTCTGAAAACTTGTCTTGAATATCATCTTCTTGTGCTTCTTCATGTACTTGTGTCACAAACAAAATCCATCCTTCTACAGCTGCAAAAGAAAAGTTGAAAAAGATTATACAAGTTAAATAATGAATGCCTTCAAAGCCAAATGACCATATTAATTCCAAGAAGATAAATTATTTGTAAATTACCATATTATTTAAGAATACTTGTATTTTAACTTACATCTCTGAGGTCCAGGCTCATTGTCATCTTCAACAACATTCATGGACTCGTAATGACCAACATCGTCTCTTGTGGAAACAAGTTCTGCTCCATGTCCACGACCTTTCCTCTTCTTTGCCTTCTCTTTTAGCCTGGCGATTCCCTCTAAAAAATGAACAATCGCGATCATATTTTATTAATAATTTAATAACAATTAAAAAATGTATAAATGTGTGGAAGTCGATTTGTAGGTTATATCAGTGATTTCACAAACTTTATTGTACAAATATACTTACGATCTCCTTCATCGTCAACTTCAAACTCCTCTGCATTGTCAATATCTAACACGTCAGCCATTGTATGAAATGCACTCTACTTTTTGCAGTAAAACTGAATGTTTTTGATTGATCTTTAGTATAAAGTTTTCAATAGCAACAGCAGCGAACAGAGTAAACGTACGCAAGTATGCATGCCGCTGCTTCATTCGAAAACATGCAGATGTCACGTTTAAATCAACATGGCGATTGGCAGAAAACGCGGAAATGTTTAAACTTTCGGTTACTATCGCTCTTCATTTGTCAACATTTATTTTTAAGTAAAGAAAACATAACCAAATTTAAGCTTAAAAATTTAAAAGAAATGCTGAAATTCAGTACATTTATCTTCTGGAAAAAATTCTTCTAAAATTTCACACGAAAATGTTTCAATTAAAAAATAAAGTAAGTAGTTATTACAATAAAACCTCTGTCCATATTACATGAGCGAACTTCTGAAGTCGAGCTTTCATAATTTCGAATTCAGAATGGCAAGCGAACCAATAAATAAAGCGAAATCGAGTTGTCACAGCAAAAATCAAGAGGAAACCAACGTTAAAAAGAAGCTCACGGTTTTGGAATCACATGGATACATACTTGGCAAAACTGTCGGAGTCGGCACTTATGCGACAGTCAAAGTGAACATTCCACTATAAACATTTTTAATTCTAACTGTAGTTTGGTCCTTGAATTAGGGAACTTTTTCACATCTTATGAATTAATAAAATAGACCGTTGGCCTCGATAAACTGTCGCCGATATTTCACGCTAAAAATCGTGTCGAATATTGAGTTTTGATAATATACGACAAAAATGATATTTTCACTTTATCGCGACACGAGTTTTCTTGACGCTTATGGTAATAGCTTTCGATTTTCAGCTCGCCGACTCTAATAGACATAGGTGTCAAGTAGCCGTCAAAGTGATATCGAAATTTCAAGCGCCAAGTGCTAACCTGAATAAATTTTTGCCTCGCGAAATTCAGGTCGTGAAGAATTTGCGTCACCCAAATTTAATCAGATACTTTCAGGCCATTGAAACGAGTTACAGGTAATAAGACATTCGTTCTACAAGAGTCATATCGGAGAAAATACTCACTTTGCTGTGATTACGCTCGCAGAGTGTACATTATTATGGAATTTGCGGATAATGGCAATTTATTATTGCCACGAAAAGGGAGTTGTACACAGGTAAAGCAATACAAACGTAAGATACGTTAATAAATCAAAATTCAATCTCATATTCAAGTCATTGCGATGTAACCGAATTCCGAGGTTCGCATCAGCAAAATACTCGCAGCATTCGTGAAATATCTTTAACAGCGATAAATTCGCCAATGCAGGGACATAAAGTGCGAGAATTTGCTATTGGATCGCCAGTACAATCTAAAGCTCTCGGACTTTGGATTCGCGAGGGGTTACATGAAGCCAGTCGACGGAGTGCAGAGCCTTTGCGAGACATACTGCGGGAGTTTCGCATATGCGTCACCGGAAATCATCTGTAGCATACCTTATCGGCCGCAACTATCGGACATCTGGTCGGCTGGCGTTGTTCTCTATACCATGGTCTTCGGTAGGCTTCCTTTCGACGACACCAGTTGGTCGAAATTACGTAAGGTAGCTTCTTGATCTGTATATTGTTATTAAGACTCTTGGATCTTCGCAGCTGTATTATGAGGTCGAGTAATCGTTAGACAACGTGATGACGCGCATTAAAAAATAGAGCGTTTTCTTGAATCAAGAAAAAAATCCGATCTTAAATTTACTACAACAATAACGCTTTATTTGTGCGACGTTGAAATTATTACAGCAAGTGCAGAGCAAAGTAGTCTTCCCAAAATCGCCCAAAGTATCGCGCGCCTGTCGAAGCTTAATATTGCGGATTCTTGTCCCGCAAAACTTGCGCCCGAGTATTGCAGAAATTCAGAAGGACGCGTGGCTTACTAAACAGACTGCTACAGCTCAGACATCCACGGATGATGCTCGCATCGTACGACAAAGATTAAATATTAATTTTGAACACAAATCTTACAGAAATATTTATTGAAACCTGATCACTCCCTATAGGAGGAATCGACTAGTACTGTCAAGTCACACAGCGGTAAGACTTTGTCGAATGCAAATACGTCTGCTAAATCGAGAAAATCATCCCATTCAAAGAAAAGTGACAACAATGAAGAATAGAACGACTACAACAAATAAATCAATAATTATAAATTAAATTATATGAAAAAAATAGTAAAGTTCAAAACGAAAAAAAAATTGAAAAATAAGCTCGTGTTAAATTATAATTTCAGTAAAAGACAAAGATTTGAAAAAATCATTCTATTTATTTAACAACAATATAACACACTTAATGTGGCACTTAGAGTACATAACGTCTATATTATATTTTGTAAAAATTTGTTCTTTTCCCTTGAGCTGAATATAATATACACATTACTTTTCACTTGCAAATTTTTGAAATTTTCAAATTCATCAGCATTGTATATAAAAATACACACTTTCATCATTCGAGTTCTAAATCACCATAACGTTCGTAACTCCGTGAGCGATTAACAATTTAAGTGAATGAAGTATGATAATCATGATAACCGACTTGTGAACACATGAATTAAAACGATTTATATTTAAAACAAACGCTAATTTTAATAAACGTACGAAAATGTTTTAAGTACTGCACAGGAAACTTCGTTTCGTATCGTTGCTTCAAAAAAATAAGTATTTGTAAAAATAATATATATAATTGGTCATCTACGTAACATAGCAAGTTTTAACATAAAAGAAATTGGTTTATGGACAATATGCGACTCTTCTTCCATACCCGTAGATTGAATATTTTTCATGAATGGCTAAATGCAGTGATGTGGAGCGAATTTCATTTGATTCTACAATCGCTTGGAATATCTTTTTTCCCCTATCGTTAAAGTTTTCTAAGAACTTTACGTTCTATACCTCGCAATTAAAAGTAGTAAAATAGTGCCAAACATAAATAAACCAGGTGCTGTCATCTTATTGATGTCCTCCTCTTCCTCTAGAAATAGAGCTGTCACTTTGCATACTGGGATTGGTTAATTTAAAAGTTGTGACGTCTAATACATACCAGAGGCGTTGTCAGTATCCCAGTCGAGACTTCTTTCGATACCTTTTTTCCATTCCGAGTAAAGCACATCACGCTCTGAAAAATATTGAATATTTAAAACACATAAAAAGTGAAACAATTTTAAGGGTCTTGATTTTTATTAAATTATTACCATTTTCTGTGATTGCTGGAGTAAAAGTATCACTTGGAACGTTAGTGCCGATATTTATATCCCACTTTTTAATACCATCCGCACAACCAGCTGCTATTGCAACTCCAAGTGCAGTGATTTCACACATAACCGGTCTAACTGAAGTTGGAATTTTGTCAATTAATACAACATAAGTACGACTGATTATATAATAATAATCATTATATAATAATAAAGCTCAAGGTGAATAAGTTCACTTGAACAAAACAATTCGAATGATGATGGCCAACTGCCAAAGTTTTTACTTTGCATTGCATAAGCATCAGCAATATTTTTGCACAATGAATTATTATCAAGCTGCTAATACATAAATACTAACCAACTGGGACGCCACAAATATCAGCTTGCATTTGCATAAGCAAATTATTGTTCGTCATTGCCCCATCTACCAATAATTTCGTTAAAGTCATCCCTGTATCTTCTTTCATAGCTTCAAGGATATCTCTTGTTTGAAAACAGACAGATTGAAGCGCCGCTTTTACTATGTGACCATAATTTACGTCTTCTGTGATGCCGCAAATAACGCTGTAATTCCATAAATAACTATTGTCTTATTAAATTTAAAAATAATATAAAAATCATTTGAAATATTTATACCTTCGGGCATCTTTTCGCCAATAAGGAGCATACAGCCCAGAAAAAGCAGGGACAAAAATTATTCTATTATCATTGCTTAACTTTTCTGCAATGGCTTCAGTTTCTTGCACATCATTTATAACTTGTAAATTGTCTTTTAACCACTTGACAATAGCACCAGCCATTGCAATAGAACCTTCTAGTGCATAAACCGGATCTGATTTTGGTCCAAACTGATATCCAACTGTTGTAAGCAATCCATGAGAAGACTCGACCACCTACAAATAAAATATTTAATAAATAACATATTTGGAAGAATTGTTAGAAAAAGAATAAAATTAATTTATTAATTATCTTATTGCCAATATTTACTTTAGTTCCAGTATTATATAAAAGAAAACAGCCAGTTCCATAAGTACTTTTAGCTTGACCTTGCTGAAAACACATTTGACCAACTAAAGCAGCTTGTTGGTCACCCAAACACTAAAAATTTTAGAAAAAAAAATTATTTTATTGTTTTTTTGCGTCTTTAAACATATAAATAATTGACTAAAGCTCACCAAAATAGTGAAATTTAACTTACTCCAGATATAGGAATTCCTTGTAATACACCATCAACGATATTACCATATATTTCAGATGAACTGCGTATTTGTGGCAATATATCTTGAGGAATATCGAAGAAAGACATTAAATATGGATCCCATTCCAAATTAACTATATTCATTAACATGGTTCGAGAAGCATTTGTTACATCTGTACAGTGTACTCCACCATTGGCTCCACCAGTTAAAGTCTAGAAGTATTTTTTGTTATTACTAAAATATTTAAAAAATATTAACCAAAAATAAATTACCCATATTAGCCAGGAGTCAACTGTTCCAAACATGCATCGATTTTCTGTGATTGCATCTTTTACTTCACTTACATTTTCTATAAGCCATTTTAGTTTCAAAGCACTGAAATAAGGACTTATAGGTAACCCACATAAAGATTTTAAATAATCTTTATTTTGATTGCGAATTTTTTTGAGAATTTTATCTATGATACCAGTGGTTCTCATATCCATCCATACTGTCAACATTATATTTTAATTAAAAACCATATTAACTAGAAAGAGGTAATAATAATTATTAACTATAAATTACCAATAGCATTATATAAAGGCTTTCCTGTTTGAGAGTCCCAAACAATGGTTGTTTCTCTTTGATTCGTTATTCCTATCGCTACAATATCAGCTGGGTTAATAGCTAGTTGTTTCAAGTTCTCTACTGTTTGATTTAAACATTCATAGACTGCATCTAAAATTTCTATTGGGTCTTGTTCAACCCATCCTTCTTGTGGATAAGAGATTTTCAATTCTTTCTGATGATAAGTTAAAACTTCCGCTGTATTAGATGCAAAAACCTTCAAGAAAAATTATTGTCATCAACAAAATGAATAATATTGAATTGAAATATATACGTTTATAACGGAAATAGCACATTGATTAATAAATAAATTACATAAGTCTATGAGGTTAAAAAAAGCTTATTTACCAAGAATCTAACGCTACTCGTGCCTTCGTCAATAGCTCCAATGAGTGGACCATATCTGTTAGCATTACTTGTTTTTTCAAATACATTTTCAGTCATCTGTACTGTTTTTCTACAGTTATATCGATTAATTCCAATTATTGAACAGTTCCTCTTGTTTTGTAGCGCAGGCGAATACTATACTAGTGACACAGCCAACAAATTCATTTATAAACCCGTTGCGCGGTCTTGAACTTTGATCCCACTCTAAATCTGTTGAACAGGACCGAAATGTTTATCAATTCAGGGATTTTAATTGGAAGCTTAATCAGCAACGTCTATATCCATGATTGCGACAAAACTGGTTTTTACCTGAGACAGTGTACTGGGCAATCGACAGATTTACGTCTGCACCGTATAGCACTATACTAATAAAAATCTAAACAAAACTGTAACAATCTAATTCAAACAGTGACATAAAAAGCACCAAAAGTAATGTTTTATTACCACGATTCCCATCGAATTTCCATTTTTCGGATTCAAGAAATATTCACGGTAAGATCGGTACCGACACTACCGACAGTTGAACATATAACCCAGATAATAAAACAGCCTAATTTAAATAATTAAAAAAAATTCTACTAAGTGTTAACCTATGCATGAAGACTGTCCATGTGCCTATGTCTGTATAGCATAACAGAAATTCTAATTTAATATTTCTTTATTGCAAAATTAGTCCATTACAATAAGTTCTCCTCAACGTTTTAAAAGAAATTGTACTTTTTTATAATTAAATAATAATTTCCATTTTCATCATTTGATGAATTAGAAAGCGTAGACTATAATGTTCAAGTATCTACTTTATAGCTATTATTTTTATTATAAAAATGATATTATTATATTAAAACTAAGTATTACCATTATATAACATTCAACGCGTTTAGCGGCTTATGATTATTGTTGACATAAAATACTCAAATTTGAGTACTCAAAAGAAATTGTCTTTACGACGGTTTCCTTAGTACGTGGCAAAGCAGAATTTAATGCATGAAATATTTATCCTCTCTTTTGTTTTTTTAAATTTTCAATTAAGCTCAACTGTTCAGTGGTCACAATTTTCATCTAACAAATGAAACTGACCTAAAATTACTTTGTTTATAAATTACTGTAGCTCCAGTAAATCATAAAGTTCACAAATTTCACTAAGATGACAAGCTGGTTTTAAACGGTGAAAATTATAATGCTTCTTTACTATGGTGTAAACATTGTTCTAATAAAAATATTATCATGAACATTATTCATCTTACCCGATAAATGATTTTGTTTTCTTCTTATCAAATCCTGAAATCTCAATCAGAAACACAAGGAAGGCCTCTTAACCATAACACATTATTGAAAAAAATTTGGTTTCTTATGCTTTTATGAACGTTAGAGTGAACCAATTATATTTTTGTAATGCTCATTTTCTTTATTTAGATTACTACTCTAGATCAAGTGAAGAATTTTTCAAAATAATCAAATTTACTACCATTTTCATGAGAACTTCCTCAAATTTTATTCAAAATTCTATTTAGATAAAATTTGTGAAAGATCTTTTGGATTCTGATTTAATGGAAAAATATAAGCTCTTCAAAAATAAATTTAACTGAATATCTCTAACGTTTAGGAAAGCGTGAGAACACAAATTTTTTCCAATAATGTCTAACTGTTAATGGAACTTTCTAGGGCCCCTAATTGAGATTTCGAAACTGAACAGGAAGAAAATGAAAGTATGCTTTAGTGGGTAATCAAAATGAAAAAATGTCATTGATAATATCGTCATTATAACAATGTTTATACCACAGTAAAGCAAACTTACAATTTTCACTGTTTAAGACTAGCTGGTCCTCTTAAGTAGTTACATTTGGATTATTCAAAAACGAGTATAAATGACTTTTTACGTAAAGTTACTTTTCCACTACTTTGTTAAAAACTTGTTTTTCAAAAATTATTTATTAATAATCTAGTAGTTTGGTCTTTCTAGTGACAGATAAAAATATCATAGCAGTCACTCAAAGGCCAGGCTCCCCGCTGTGCAAGACGCTACCAATAGTCGGGCATTTCTGGTTTGGACTCCAAAATGGTCAATTACAAAATCTACAATTAATTGACTGCTTTAATAAGCATCTATCCTTTTTGCTATAAATTATAAACGCACCATAATCCTAACTAACGATATACTTGAAAACTGTCATGGGTCTTCCTGGAGCTGAAATAGCGCGAAAAAATCTGAAAAGAAGAACCATTGCTGTAGATATAAAAATAAATTTGAGGTAATTTGACCACATGTTTATTAGTAGCCGGAAAAATTTTTCATTTTCTTCCCTTTTGTGAAAACCTTGACTTTTCTATATTCCACTTGAAAATGTTGGCCTATCCTTTTTTATCATTAGATTGTAACGCGCTAAGTCGTGAAAGAATCGCATGCAGAAATGTAGCAACTTATAATCGCACCTTCGTGTACAGTAATTTTACAATATATACGAATGCGTGTTTTCCCCGCAGCGCACACCCACAGTCCAATACTATGTCTGTAAGTTACCGCAGAATTAGTGCTGAAAACTTGAAAGCCAATCATTGAAAAAGTAGAACGATGTACTACAAGCTAGTAGTGAAATTACCTTGGTGACCCGTAATATAAGTGAATGGTATGTTATTCATATAATAATTCGTGATTCTTCTGCCCTGTTTCACGCGCACGTGACCCACAAGCACGACCTTTCAGTAGTACGCTATGATCGCCTTTCAATCATGTACGTAGATCCTTTGGATACATATTTGATCGGTGAGTTAGCTCACACAAGAATTTGGGGCTTCTAGATCGTTGGCTCTGCTCCTCTTTCTCTCTCATTCGGTATCGTTCGAATTTCATTGTACGGTGAATGCCGATGGTCGGACAGAGATATGTGAACTGAAGCCGCTCGATTAGCGGTAGTTCGATCGAATTATCAGCGGGACGACGACTTCGATATGACGGGTTCTTTTCGACTGTTAGACGAGACGTAACGTAATATTGAGGAATTATGAAAAACGACGTTCGATCGAAACAACGGTTATTTCGTCATTCCACTCGATCGCACCTATGTGTGCGTTTTGTAAACAATATGTATGCGCGTATAAACCTGTGGAATGCCAATGTATGTGGTCCATACATTATTTAAGAGCAATTTACATCGCGCACGTCAATTACGCGTACGTCGCCGCGAGCGGGCAATGCACGTGCACGGGCAGCTTGTATACTTGTGCAACAATTTGAAATAATAAGCCAAATAGTGAGGTACATCTTGGATGGCTCGTATCCTGCGAGCAACGCGAAAACACGATAATAAAACAAATAGAAATGAAGATACGAACCGCGCGCAGTGCTACTCGTGACCTGGCCGGCGCGGCGTCGCGACGAAGCTCGCCCGAGTTTCGTTCGGAAGAGCGGACGCGCGGCGAAGTATAGCGGCCCGTCTCCGCTGCTGGCTTTATCAGTGCGGGCCTTAGAGAACGAGAGACGGGGACGATAAGCGCGATGAAAGTGGGTCTGCGTTCGCGAGCGCACACCGTTACGCGATCGCTGCGCGAAGTAAGTAAGAGGAGAGCCCTGCTCCCAACGAAAATCGCGCGTCCCAGCAGCAGCAGCAGCGGCAGCGGCAGCGCCGGCCGCGAGTTATATAGCGATCGATCGAAAGATCCCGCGGCCGCTCCCAACCACGATCTCTCCATATTTTTCGCTTCTCGCTCGCTCGCGCCGCCCCTGCTCCTCAACACACTTCGCGTCCTCGCCGCGATCTCTTCGTCCTTACGCCACTTGCTGCGTGCTGTCCGTGCATCGTTGTCCGGCCCGCTTTGCGCTCGTCGTTGCCACGCTTCGCTCCAGCTTTTCATTGCTCCGCCCTTTGTCTTCGATTCTATTATTATGAAGCCAAACGCGGAGTCGTCGCAGAGAACATTGACACTCGATCATTGCTTTCGATCGCTGAAATTCCAAGAAAATGTCTGAATAAGCCTACGCGTGCAATTAAACAATAACTTGGTTTATAACTTCCGAGAAGAAAATTGAATGCTGAACTGAAAGACGGTAAAAATAACAATTGCCTTTAGAGGTGAGTAAACGCAAGTGTATCTTGATATACTTATCTGACGCACTTAGCCACTAAACTAACAATGCGTTTGAACAAAGTGCGCGCAGCGTTTATCACTCGAAATTAAGCCGTTGCATGTTCCTTCTTCTTGCGCTTTTTCCATGCATGACGCACTCGTCCGATAATTTCAAAAATATAACATTCATTGTTAAAAACGACTTTCGCCAATTTTCTTCGTAAAGAGTATTCAAGAAGCTCCGTGTCAGATAAAGTGCAATATTCTTTTTTTTATAATATCGCTTTCTTGAAGAGCGCGCCTTGCATTTTATGCGAAGAAATTCGTCTTATTCGCCGCATTATAAACGTCATGCTTCGCGTCATAACTTTCACTGTGATAGCACGCTGTGATTTATAACTTCAACTCTGAGAATGACAATAACCAAACCAAAAAGTATAATAGGACCCTTTTTATCTCGCGGGGTGGAGAAAGTTGCAAAATACTCAATTAAAATTATCTTATGTAACTGCCGGCAGAGCGGTGCGTCTATGCAATATCACGAGTACAAAATGATCTCTGCCAGGCGGCGGCAGAGAAGGGATCCTAAGATGTGCCACCGAGGATTATATAATTGAAAAAGCATCATTAATATAGATAGGCTTTGGTTCATCCGGTCGCCGCGACGTTTCATACGAGTCGCAATCTGATATTGCACGTATGAATATAACAATCGATTCTCAATATGTGCACCGCGGCACGTATTTTTAGTGGTCGGCGTGATTCGGCAGCGAGGTTACAGCCGCGAACGAACCGTCGAACTCTGAACTTAATTGATATTCAGTCCAGCGCGCGCGCACACAGGCGGGTCGGCAGGTAAATTTAGCAAAGCCTGGGCACAAATATACAGAGACGCGAAACAAAAGACCAACACGAAAATTTTCATACGGTCTGGTTCAAGGATATGTGTGAGCCCTATCGGCGATCCGCTCGATGCACATAACATCCGCGTGTGTATGCCGGCTGGCTTGCACGCTTGTGTTGGTGAAGTTTCAACCGCGTGTTATATAGAAAGAGAAGGAGAAACAGCAGCAAGGCAGGAGGGGGCATCGGACTTGACTATCGCGTGCTCACCTCGCCGCCGCCGCCGCGGCTTTCAGTCGATCCTGCGCGCTTGACGCGTTCCGTGAGAGTGCCTTTACACGCTGTGCAGTACACCGAAAAGCGAACGTTTTTGTTTTATTTTTTTTTTTCCTTTGTGACTTGTGCCTTCACGCGTGTGCGTCGCCGAAACTTCAGAAAAATTCATCCCTTGGCGATCTCATTTGGCACGCGAAATTTCTTGCTCGGTGTAGTAACCAGTTGTTACTTGTGGGCCTTGCGCAGGGTATGTATTATTAGAGCACGTAGAGGTGCATACATCTCTTTACGATT